TTGCTGCTAGCACAGGCTGGGTGACTCGCACCTCCCCACGCATTCCCAGCCACCATGTGGCTGCCTTCCCTCTCCGAGCTGCCAGCCCCTGGAAGCTGCAGGCAGTAAATTTTTCCTATCTCCTCATAACCCAGGCTTCCTCTGCTCAGCCATCACCTGGCTGGCAGTGCTGTCAAAAAGACGGATGCCACATCTGCCTTGTTTACGACTTTAATTCCCAAACCCTGTTATGCGGGCTCCCGGGAGGGGCCGGGAGGGAGGAGAGAGGCAGGCACCGTCCCCCACCGCCCCGGGCTTGACAGCTGCACAGATGCCCCTCGAAGGGGCCCTGACCTCGCTCAGGCGCGGGGATCCATGGGTCTGGCCTCATGGGGATCTCTGGCCTCATGGTTAGGTCTTCTCTGGAGCCCAGGGAACTGACTGCCAGGCCACACTACTCCACTCCACACCTCGTCTGCAAAGCCATCCTGTCCTGCGGGGCAGGTCTGTCCTGCTCACGGTGCCTGGCAGGGGGTTTTAGCACATAGTGGGCCTCTTAGTAAACGCTGGTTGGCTTCCTGATTGACAAGTAAAGAGCAGTGCTTCCTGGGTCCTCTGGGCCCAAGAGGAAGGTAGCGCTCTGCTGGGGACAGGGCTCTTGGGAGGATGGGAGAGGGTGATGATTCCCATTTCAGAGACGAAGAAACTGAGGCCTCAAGAGGCAAGGTGACCTAGCCAAGGTGACACGGCTAGGAAGCAGCAACACCAGAATTCACACTCGGGCCTGCTGTGTCTGAGAAAGGATGAGTGCCCACCATACCCCTGCCCTTACCCTTCCGCACACACCTGTCCAAGCTCCAGCTGCCAGCACCTGCCGCCTGCCCAGGTCTTCTCCGGCCCAGGAGCCCGCCCTACCAGCCAGGCGCAGGCTGCCAGCGACTGACAGGCACACACACGTCCCTCCTGCCTTCAGTGCCATGACTGAAGCCTGTTCCTCGCTGTCCCCAGAGTCCCAGGGGGGTTAGCTGAAGTTGTTCACAGTGGTAACCTTCTTTTTTTTAATTTCAGGATATTATGGGGTACAAACATCTTGGTTACATGTTATGACTCCGCCATATCCCAACCATGATGTGAGACGTGCCCGTCCCCCGCCAACGCTCACTGCGTCCCTTAGTTGTGCGTTTACCCACCCCAGCCCCACAGTGGTGCCCTCCTTGATGTCACACCCTTTACCGCTGCCTTCTCTCCTCTCTCCTGGGATCCCCCGCAAATACACTACTTGCTCTCAAAGCCTTGTTTCAGGAGAATCCAACAGTCCTGAAGGATGGATCAACTCTTCCCAAGGGTAAGACCACAGGAAGAGATGGTCCTCCTCGCCCTCTTGGAAGTTCGCGGGGTCCCTCCTTCAGCTGGAGGGGAAGGAATGGTTTGGCAGAGCAAGGGACGCAGGAGTAGCGCTTGCTCGCTGTGAGACCGTGGGCAGGGCAGGCACAGCCTCAGGGAGCAGGGAGGGCCGATCCTGGGGGCGGTGAGTGGGAAGCCAGGCTCCAGAGACAGCGCGGCAGGTGGGGAACACAAATCACGGAGACTACAGGGCATGTCTGGGCGGCTGGGGGGGGGCGCAGGGAGGGGAGGGAAGGAGGGAGGGAGGAGGCAGCAGGGTGGCAGGGCAGGGGCAGGCAGGGCTCCAGAGCCAGGCTGCCTGGGCGTGACTCCAGCTCTACCAACTCTCTAGCACTGTGACATTCGCAAGTTGCCTCGGTTTCCCCTTCTGTAAAATGAGAGCGGCACCTGTGACAGTCTATACCACCCACTCAGGATGCCGCACTCCCACCCCCAGGATCCTACAGCAGACAGACATAATTGGTACCAACAAACTTGGGCCACTAAATTACCCAACTGCCTGTGTAAATCCCATCTGTCCCACTGCCTCTATGTCAACAGTGACAACCATTTCATCAGCACCTCTTACACACGCCTTTCCAGCCGGCCACTTCACACACTATCGCTAATCCTCAAAACCACCCACTGAGATGGCTGTTGCCTTTCCTGTTCCATAAAGCATCAGAGGTTCAGAGAAGTCAAACAACTTGTCCAAGGTCACCCTGCAGAGCGGGTTTCAGACCCAGAGGTGAGGCCTTCCCCATGCCTCCTCCCAGCCCTCCTTGGGGGTCCCTCCCCCCACCCTGGCCTCAGGCCTTCTCCCCAGGGCAGGTTCAGCTCAGACCTGGGTGGGCTGTGGGAAGCCAGAGCTGCCGCCCTCGCCCGGGGTTCCGGGTCCCACGAACATCCCAGCAGCTCCCTGCCCCTCACCTCACCCGGCGGGGACACACGGTCTCGCCGCACCTGACTTGGGGCCACACAAGGACGCTGCCCAGTCCGTGCTGGGGCCTCCCGTGCAGCAGGGAGGATTCGGGTGAGCTGTGAGGCGCTGTCCTTCCCCTCCCCCAGGGTGTCCCCACGTCCAGGCCTCCTGCACGCCACCTCCCATCACTCACCTCTCCCTCTGAGCCAGAGGCTCCCAAACTTCGCTGCGCAGTAGAACCACCTGGGGCACTTTCAAAAAATCCTGATGCTCAGGTTGTGGCCAGTACAAATTAAATCGAAATGTCTACAGGCATCCATGTCAGGCATCGGTATTTTTAAAAGATTCCCAAGTGATTCTGTGTGGACAAGGCTTGGAGACGACCACTGCTCCAGCCCGAAGCACACACTGAAATCACCTAGAGAGCTTTGAGCCGCCGCGCGGGCCCCACCCCTGAGGTTCCCGTGCAGACATCTGGGGTGGGGTCCTGGCCTGGGCCTAAGAGCTCCCGGCGACTCCCGCACAGTGCGGGCTCCACCCCTGAGGTTCCCGTGCAGACGTCTGGGTGGGGTCCTGGCCTGGACCTAAGAGCTCCGGGCGACTCCCGCACAGCGCAGCTAGAGCTACCACTCGCCGCTCACAAGGTGCGTCCACGGACATGGCTTGCTTCCTTCCGGAGGCGCACCCTGGGCGGCAGGCCTTCCTCCCCACTTCTCAGGTGAGAGAGCAAAGGCCCAGAGAGGTCACAGCACAGCCCGCTCTAGTCCTCCCGCCCCTGCCCGCTGTGACGACCAGGCCCAACACCTCCCTCAGGGCGGCCGAGAGGCTCCTGAGTGCCGGCCTGCGGACTGGAGTCTGGACGAAGCCTACAGGAACTGACCACGGCCTCCCCTCCTGCCCTCCCAGACCAAGAGGCGACCCAGAAAGCCCCTCATCCTGGCCAGCCTGACGCGGGGCCCAGAAGGCCACGGCCGTCCGTCTTACCCATCCTGCCCCACCCCCACCCCTGGGCGGGGGCCGGTGGCCTATAATCAGGGTCACAACTTTTCATCCCACAGGGGCTCTTTTGAGAATGAAAGGGGATGCTCTCAATAATCACACCAGAACAGGGGTGGACAGGATTCGTGGTCACCCCATCCACGAGGGCTCAGCCTCCATGCCCAGTCATGGTTGTACTTTTTATGCCTCTATTGCAACTGCTGCCTGATTCAGGCTTCTGCTGTGCAGCCTTGGGCAAGTCGCTTGGTCTCTCTCTGACTCTCCATATCCTCATCTATAGTATGGGAATCCTAAGAGTTCCTAGAGGTGTTGTGAGAGTAAAGTGAGATTATGGCTTTAAATTGTCTGGAACACGGCAGATGCATAGTAAATCGTGGTATTTATGTTTATGAGCTCACCCAGAAACATGCAAGCCCCCACATAAGACATTTTCACACACACTTCTCTCCCAGGCACGCCGACTCATGCACACAGTCACACACAGGTGTGTGCACACACGCCACCGCCGGGGCGCACTCGTACACTGTGCATCAGGCCGCGTGGGTTTGGCCCAGTGGTACCCGCTGTCGAGGGACTTCGATGCCCTGTGGGCTCTTGCCACCAGAGGGCAGCGCTCCCCGCCCACCCCCTCATCACACTCCCTCCTCTCCCGGCCCCAGCAGACCCCTGTCAGACTCCATCCAGTGTGGCCCCGGCGGCGCACCAGCGCTTTGCCCAGACCCCAGCGGTCAGGTCGGGAGGACACGGGCGGAGCACATCATCCGCAGTTAGGCACCACTCAGGCTCCGGAGCCCCAGCGTGGCTGAGGCCGGGTCCTGCTGCAGAGCTCCCCGGGCCGGCGTGCACAAGACCCCATGTCCAAAGGAATCCAGAGTGGACACACCAAGACGGCACCCAGGGGCTTCGGGCCTGGAGCCCAGACCAGGTTCAAGCCAGCTCCACCATTTCCCACCTGTGGGAATCAGGTCCTCTACTTACCTCCTCTGAGCCTCGCGTTCCCCTCTGTAAAATGGACCAGTGATTGCCCCCGTGCGTGGCTCATTCTTCTATTCAGGGCTCAAGTGTCACCTTTGCTGGGTCGTGCCTGGCCACTTCACAGATGCGGTTTCCCTCCCCCTGCACTCCCCGTTCTTTATCTGTTTTGTTTCTTTGCTTATCTGTTTTGTTTCTACTGCACATTTCCCTTCCAATATGTCCTGTCATTTACTTATCTTGTTTATCGTCTGTCTCACCATTTCAATAAAACTCCAAGACTTGTTTGACTCTCCCATTCACTGCTGCACCCACCATGCTTATAACAGGGCAAGGCAGTCCTGGGAGCCAAACTGCTGTTTGTTGAGTGACTGAGGGGTTAGAGGTGGTTCCTGTGAAGTGTCCAGACTGGTGTGCGGCAGGACCGACACAGTCAAGTTCTGCGGGCACACCCAGGCAGTCAGAGGCCAGATGGCCCTCCCGGCCCCAGGACTCTCAGTGTCGCACTCTAATTAGGCCGGGGCCCCGCCCCTTCAGTCCCTGGCTCCCAACTCTGCCCCAGGTGCCAGCCCACCTCCACTCCGGCGGGCGACCCTGGAGACTTCTGCGCCGCAGCATCAGCCCCAGGTCTCCTGCCGCTCAGGCTTCCCCTCCAGAGCTCCGCCCCGCGCGCGCCGCCGCCCGCGCCGCCCTGGCCCCCCCCGGCCCCGCCGCCGCCCGCCCCCGCCCGCCCGCGCGTGCTCACTGGTGCACTTCTTAACGTGGCTCCCCTTCTTGAGCGCGTGGCGGCTCAGCTTGCAGTGGAAGTTGTCCTCCCAGAACTCGGCAAACCAGATGTTGCGCCGGTTGTTGTCCAGCGTGCGGCTGGAGAAGTAGCGGTCGAAGCCTGGCGGACGGGAAGGGGACTCAGGGCTCTCGCTCGGCCTTCCTGCTGCCACGCCCCAGGCTAGGCAGGGGCTGGCCGGGCTGAGGCGGGAGGAGGCGGGCGCGTGCCTGATCCACGGCCCAGGCGGAAAAAACAAAATGTGGAGCATTTCATTTCACTCAAAATGAAAAGAGCTGTATTCAGTCCCAGGGGGAGCATGTGTAAGCCACAACTGCTGCCTTTATGGAAGAGAAGTACACCGATGAGGATGTTTCCACGGTCAAAGCCACGGAAACCCTAATATCGGGCCTCTTTGAGAAGGTGCCGTCTGGGAGTCCTGAGATTAGAGCAGAGAGGCTGGTGGGTTTGCCCAACCCTGGGAGCACGTGGCCAGAGAAAGCAGGGGATCGCACAGCAAGACCAGGACCTGGACCTTCTGCTTTCAAGTCCAGAAGGTCCTGGTCACAAACAGATGCAGCCTGCTTCCTCCACGTGCTCTGCCAGACTCAGAAATCTGCTCTCAGCCAAAAACCCTGTCCAAGGGTGGGCAGGCTGGCGGGGAACAGGGCCCTCTCCCTCCTCCTGGATGCTCCTCCCACAACACTGACCACTCTGTGCACAGTGACCTACGCTGCTTGAGATGGGCCAGAAGGCCCGAGAGCTCAGTGGGGCTGCATGAAGCTTCCTGTGCAAGGAGGGGTCGGAGTGGAAGCTAAATGAGAGCCGCAGGAGAGATGCTGGCACTGGGCGGGGTGGCCTGCAGCAGGGCTTCTCAGCCTTGGCACTGCTGACACTTGGGGCCAGCTGCCGCTTTGTCCTGGGGGCCGTCCTGTGCACCGCGGACGCCGAGCCGTGTCCCTGAACTCCACCCGCCAGATGCCAGCAGCATCCCCCAATCATGACAACCAAACATGTCTCCAGACATTGCCAAATGTCCCTTGGGGGGCAAAATCACCGCCAGATGAGGACCACTGTTCTAAAAGCTTCTCTAATGTCCAAGAGAGAAAAGGTATTTGTCAGGCAAGTTCTGGATCCAAATCCCACTCTGCCACTTACTGCACTGTATGTCACTTAATCTGTCTGATCCCCAGAGTATCCCCCCCATCTCCTACATGTGGGTCAGAGGGCACCACAGGGTTGCCAGGAAATTAAGTGAGATGTCTGCGCAGGGCCTGGCATTCGGGGCACCAGCAAGCCATCATTATTGCTACTTTGTGTTTATTACGGCTTGGGGTTTCCAGGGGAGGGGTGGAAGCTTCTGCACCCTGTGCTCCCTCTGCCTCAGGGTGAAGAGAGGACACTGCTGTGTGACCTTGAGCAAGTCCTTCCCCTTCTCAGCCTGGCTCTTGGAAAATTTGTTGGCAACGCAGATGTCTGCGGCCCCATCCAGCTCCATCAACGCTGGATTCTATTGAACGGAGGGAGGGCAGAGAAGAAGGGCTGGGGAGCCCACGTCCCCCTGGGGAGGACTGCAAGGTCCCTGCCAAATCAGGCCATTAACAGGAACTTCACACCACACTGTCTGTGAGGTTCTGGCCACAGCACTTTGTTCCTGCCCAGGTGACTGTGGGTCTGCCCTGAGAGGAAGGATTCGGGGCAGGGCAGGCCCCAACCCCAGGCCCAGGCAGGCTCTGCAGGGAGGCCCGTCCCGCACACAGCACCTCTCCTGTAGCCTGCTGGCCGCTCCCAGCCCCCTCGGGCACAGGACTCTCTCCTGGCAGGGTGAGTCCGTGCACGCCCCACACCTCCCACACCCAAAAATATCTGAGCAGGGAGGAAGAAAGGACCGGAATCTGGATTCAAATTCTGCTCTATTGAGTGCCTGATAGGCCTCCCAGCCCAGAACCTCAGAACACAAGACTGGGGACCAGGCAAGGAGAACGCAAAGGTGCAGGAAGAGGAGGAGAAAAAGGAAGCAGAGGAGGGACACGGAGGCGAATCCAGGGTGGTGCTGAGAGTAGGCGGGTGAGTGTGGTGGTCCTGCATCCTGTCCTGCCAGGCCTACCTCGCACGGACATCCTCTTGGGGAGAATAGTGACAGCACCCTCAGCCACCTCCTCCAGGTGCAGCACCGGTGCAATCTTGGAGCCCCAGCTGTCCGAGCCCATCCAGAAGAAGTGGCCTGTCTGGTTGGCTCTCCGCGCTGCCTCCAGTACACGCCTGTGAGAACACACACCAGCCCAGCCCAGCCGTGTCTGTCCACACAACTGACCCCACCCCTGGCCACACCAGCTGTGGGCCCACCTGTCCCCCGGCTCTGCCTGGACCCCCCACCCCTGACTCCCATGAGCCGAGGGCCCACAGCTGCCCCAGCACCCATGCCCATACCCCCTGCCATGGCTCCCCCACTCCTGGCCCACACCTGCCCATAGGCCCACACCTGTCCCCCTGGGCCCACGCCTGCCTAGAAGCCCACGGTGATCTCTGAAGTTCCCGCAAACACCACACCTGTCTCCCCAGATCCACACCTGAGTTCCATCTAACTCAGGCCTGGGAACTATTAACATGTCTGCCCAGCCCCTGTCCTCTTGGATTCATGCTTTCCTGGCCCTGAGCCCACACCCACGTCCCTTAGCCTGTCCTCACATTTACTGTCACACACACACACGCCCCTCTGCCCCCTGACCCCTCTGCACATGGTGCCCCCCCCCCCCCGCCAGTAGTGCCCTCTCCATCCGCCCCATTCTGTGCCGGAAGTCCCGGTCCGTCCCAGAGCTGCCGCCCATAGCCTGACGTGGATGGATGATGGGTGGACGAGGGCACAGGCTGCCAGGTGCTCACACCCGGCCAGGCCTCCCGTGACAGTGGTCTTCATCAAACCAGCATGGGACTGAGGAGCCCTTACTAGGCGCTTAATCAGTGCTTGCTGGGTACATGGACTAAGTGGCCACTCAAAGACACCTCCCTGGAGGGCAAATCAGTGAGGAGTGGGCAGAATTCCCCTAACGCTGCTCCTCCCACGGGGAGAGGCTGGAGCAGAGAGGGGCAAGGACCTTGCTCGGGGCCACATAGCAAGTGGGAGGCTGCGACACTAGAAACTGCCCAGGCCTTCCCAGCGGAGAGGACCAGGGCAGACTGCGGGACGGGGGCGGCTGTCGGGCCTGTGCAGGATGCAGCCGGCAGGGGCAGGAGGGCTTGCAGCTTCAGAGAGAAACGAATGTTCCCAGGCCCCAGAGCCTGCACCTGGGGCTGGGGCCGGCCTGAGCTGGCCTCACTGTCCCTCCTCGCCCCACCCCCGCCCAACTCCATCATCTCCCGACCCCTCACTGGGGCAGCCCCCCACCTCAGTCCCACTAATAGCAGGTGGGGCTGCTGTTAGCACCCACACACACCGGCCTGCACCCAGCCAGCCCCAGGTGACCAGGGCTCCCAGGCCTCCATCCCTGCAAAGTTTGTCTTTACTTCTGTTTGCTTCTAAAATGCATGTGGGTTTCCAGCAGAAACGACCCCGCCTTCCGACTCACCTCAGAAAGTCAATCTAGTCCCATCCCACCCTCCCCTGGGTGCCTCTTCTCTGGGACAAGGGACCCAAGGCTTTTATACTCTCTCCCAGCCGGGAGTGGGGTGCACAGCCTGGTGGGAGATGGCAACTGGGTCGGGCCAGCTTTGCGGTGGGAGTAGGGCAGGACCCGGGGAGCAAGGACTGGTGGCTCAGCGGGGCCTCCTGCCCCAGGAGCTGGCTAGCCCTGTGGGCATCGGGAACATTCGGAGCCGGAATTAGGGGACCTACATGCTTTAAGGGGGTCAGAAACTACCTCTGCGCACAGTGTGGGCTGCCAGGACAGGCTCTGAGGAACTCCCCTCCCTGGCTTCTCGCTGCCTGAGACACCGCCATTACAGCTGGACCTTTCGGCTTTTGAGGACTTAAGGATCTTCCAGAACTCCCTCCTGTGGCCCTCTGGTGACCTGGCAGTGTCCCTGGGTGTTTATATGTTTTGCTGTGACTCTGGAGTCCAGGACAGGGTCTCGACGAGTGAGAAAAGGGTTTAAAAGAATGGGACTCAGGGTGAGGCTGCTTAGGAATGGGAGCGACACTGGGAGGGGCAGCCTCAGCTGGGCCCCTGAGTTGGGAGTCTGAGGGCCAGGAATGTGAGGGAGGAAGCCCAGGGGGCCACATCTGCCCCGGCTCCCCAGAACAGGGCCGTGTCTCCCCCAGACTTGGGCTCCCCAGGACAGGCAGTGTCTCCCCTCAGACTGGGGCTCCCCAAGGATGGGGCCATGTCTCCCCTCAGACTGGGGCTCCCTGAGGACAGGGCCGTGTCTCCCCTCAGACTGGGGCTCCCTGAGGACAGGCCATGTCCCCTCTCAGACTGGGGCTCCCTGAGGACAGGGCTGTGTCCCCCCTCAGACTGGGGCTCCCTGAGGACAGGCTGTGTCTCCCCTCAGACTGGGGCTCCCTGAGGACAGGCTGTGTCTCCCCTCAGACTGGGGCTCCCTGAGGACAGGCTGTGTCTCCCCTCAGACTGGGGCTCCCTGAGGACAGGCTGTGTCTCCCCTCAGACTGGGGCTCCCTGAGGACAGGCCATGTCTTCCCTCAGACTGGGCTTCCTGAGGATGGGGCCATGTTCCCCTCAGACTGGGGCTCCCCAGTACAGGCTGTGTCCCCCCTCAGACTGGGGCTCCCCAGGACAGGCAGTGTCTCCCCTCAGACTGGGCTCCCCGAGGACAGGGCTGTGTCTCCCCTCAGACTGGGGCTCCCCGAGGACAGGGCCATGTCTCCCCTCAGACTGGGGCTCCCCGAGGACAGGGCCATGTCTCCCCTCAGACTGGGGCTCCCCGAGGACAGGGCCGTGTCTCCCCTCAGACTGGGGCTCCCCAGGACAGGCAGTGTCTCCCCTCAGACTGGGGCTCCCCAAGGATGGGGCCATGTCTCCCCTCAGACTGGGGTTCCCTGAGGACAGGGCCATGTCTCCCCTCAGACTGGGCTCCCCAAGGATGGGGCCGTGTCTCCCCTCAGACTGGGGCTCCCCAGGACAGGCCATGTCCCCCCTCAGACTGGGCCCCCTGAGGACAGGTCTGTGTCTCCCCTCAGACTGGGGCTCCCTGAGGACAGGGCCCTGTCTCCCCTCAGACTGGGCTCCCCAAGGACAGGTCTGTGTCTTCCCTCAGACTGGGGCTCCCTGAGGACAGGGCCCTGTCTCCCCTCAGACTGGGGCTCCCTGAGGACAGGGCCCTGTCTCCCCTCAGACTGGGGCTCCCTGAGGACAAGGCCATGTCTCCCCTCAGACTGAGCTCCCTGAGGACAGGGCCGTGTCTCCCCTCAGACTGGGCTCCCTGAGGACAGAGCCGTGTCCCCCCTCAGACTGAACTCCCTGAGGATGGGGCCATGTCTCCCCTCAGACTGGGAAATCTCTGAGTCCTGACCCATCTTGGCCCTGACACCCAATCTCAGGGAGGTGGGAACAAAGGAAAACTAGGAGGAAGGGAAGCTGGTTAGGAGGGGCAGTCAGGGATCCTCTATTAAGGGTTCCCAAGTGTGTGGCTTGTGACCTAGGTCCCAGGGGCTGGCCCAGGGTCTCTGCACCCAGTCTGCCTGCTCCTACTCTGCGGATGCGGTGACTGAGGCGCAGGAAGGGGAAGCGTGTCCCCAAGCCAGGACTAGAACCACAGAGATCGATTCCCTGTACTCTAAGCTCACCTATAAAAGGGAGGGACTGCGGCCAACATTTGCTGGACACCTACTTCATGCCAGAGGCTACTCTAAGCCCTTGAAGCACATTCCTGCATTCAATTCTCCAACGCTGTCGCTGTCGGGCAGGCTTCATTAGTTCATTTTTTTTTTTAGCAACAGAGGTCCAGACAGGTTAAGAAACTCACCTGAGGTCACACAGCTAGTAGGTAGAACAGGATTAAAACCTAGGTGGTCGGACCCCAAGCCCACAGCCTTAGCCCCTCCACTAACGCACCTTGCTGGCCATCCTGGCCCTGTTAGCAACAGCCTGTGCCCCAGCCTGGGGGTCTCCCTGCTCACACTTACCCTCCCCCACCCCTCAGGATCCCAGGGTGGGCTTGGGCTGGCCTAGGAGGGTCCTCAGCAGGACAGGACCTGTGGCTCTCCCCACGCCTGCTGGCTCCCCGTCCCGCCCCACTGCCGCCTGCCCTCACCTGATGTCATCCTCATTGGCAAATATGATGACCGCCCTGGCATTCGAGGTCTCCAGGAGGCGACGGATGATCTTGTCGAACTCACCCGTCTTGGGCTCCCGTGGTATCTTCACCGACTGGGCGATGCACACGCCCCCTGCAGGAGGGGCACCAGTTAGCTCCAGGGCACAGGGCTGGGGGCGGGGGGGCAAGGTCCCCAGCCTGACTCCCAGCCCTGGGCTCCCAGTCTCTAGATACGGGCTGTGCAGTCAGCATGGCCGCAGCACCAGTCTTGACTCCACTTGCCAACAGGGGACTCTGCACATGCCACGTAAGTACTCTGTGCCTCGGTTTCCCCATATAGCAGGTAGAGGAGACAAGAAGCAGTATAGCATCATGCTTAGGAACCAGATTTCCTGGGTTCAAACCTCAGCACTGCCACTCACTGCTATGTGACCTCAGGCTGGTTACTGAGCCTCTCTGTGCCACAAATACATCACCTATAAAGTGGAGATGCTACCTACTTTGTAGGATTGTTATAAAACATTAAATAAATGAACTAATGCATATAAATACAATAACATCTGGTACACAGTGTTTCGCAAATGTGGGTTATTTTTATCGTGACCACCTCATGACATTCTCAGAGGATTAAATCCGAAAATGAGAGCCCACCTGGGCCATCAGTGCCCCCACACCTCCCACAGCTCATGCACACGCCCTTGGTGAGAGCAGTGTGTCTGGCTGCCGGCCACCAGACACCCGGCAGCACTCAGTGCTTCACCCAGCCGGTCCCCGGCCTCAGACGTGTCTCTGATGCTGGCAGGGGACGGGTCTCCTTCACGTCTTTAAGTCCCACCTGACCTCCCGGTGCGGAGCATTCGTGGGCCACTGCCTGTACCGTCCACTGCATTGACACCTGAGGAGCCTGGAGCTCAGAGAAGCGGCTTGCCCAAAGCCACCCAGTTTCCTGCCCTCCTGGGGGCCAGGAGCTGGGGACCCCCAGAGAATAAGACCCCTGAGGTCCCTGGTAGCAGAGTCAGGGCTAAGTTGATGGAAAACCTTGAGGGATTAATCTTAATGAAGCCAGACCCACTATCCAACCACCACCCTCCTCTGGGTCCCCCTCAAAACCAGGTACAGCCAATGCCTCGAGCCAACCACCTGGGCTGGGCCTCCAGATGCCACCCCTGGGCCTCCACCTGGCCACCTGGGCCTTCTACATAGACCTGCCCTAGTACATCAGGCAACTCTGTGCAGGGCCTGGGCTGCCAAGGGCTCGCAGTGCGGGGAGGACACCACCACCACCAGCCCTGCGGAGCAAGTGCCAGCACCCAGCTCCACACACAGGGCAGCCCCTACCACATGGGCAGGGAGTGGCGACCAGGGAAGGCTGCCCAAAGGTGACACTGAGCTGAGTCCTTAGAGGGCGCTAGCAGCCATGTGGGGCATTCTGGGGAGAACAGGTGCGCCCACTAGATGGACGGGCTGCTCTGTGCCAGCGCCCTGCCAGGTGTGGGGCCACAGGCCACAAACACACACACACGCAGCCCCTCAGGTCTCTCCTAAGACACCCAAGAAGTCCCAAGCACCAGAGAAGAACACGACTGCCAGGAGCTCATGGGCAAAGGAGAGAAGAACCAAGGGTGCGTGGCAGGGCCGGGGCCCCTCCCGTTCTGGGTCACCAAGAGCCACAGCACTGGCCGGGCAGGCGCTCGGCTCCCAGCGAAACCCTCCATATGGTTTCTTTCCAGTTAGAAGTGGGCCAATTGCAACATTTCTCCCCCCATCTGGGGAGACAGATGGACAAGAGGAAGAGGCTGGACGGGGAGGGGGAGAGGAGGCTGAGCCACATGGCTCAGGATGGGGGTGGGGCAGGGGATGGGCGCTAAGTGCTCCCCAGCAGGAGAGACTGTTAAGTTAAGCACTATTTCTGGGCGAGGATCCGTGTGGTGGTCCTGCCTGGTGCAGCCTGCAAGCTTCCCTGTGCTGGTGAAGGAGGGTTAGGCTCAGTCAGCAAGAACGCGAGTGAGTCACAAGGCACCTGGAGCGCGCGTGCGGTCTGAGGATGGTGTGACGTTCTTGCAACCACAAGAGACAGGAAGACTGAGGGCCTGCGGGGGTGCAGAGCCCGGGGATACTGAGGAACATGTCGGAGTGTGCAGCGCATGTTGAACACTATTCTGCAAATTTCACGTGGCTGCGCCCATCTGAGGTCGGTGCCAGCCCCACATCTCCAATTTAGAGATGAGGAAACTGAGGCACAGAGGTTAAGTGGCTTCCCCAAGGCCACGAAGATCATCAGGGGCAGACTGGGGTTTCCACTCAGCCATCTGGCTCAACAGCCACCTTCCAGCCAGTCGTGTGGGGAGGGATTGGGTCGTGGAGTCAGGGGGGCTCAGGGGCCATGAGCACGTCTGGGCACAGCGCCTGCCCCGTGGGGAGTGCCCACTGGTGTCACTGTCCCCAGGATGAGGACACATTAATGCCCACAAAGCCCTCACGGAACAAGCCCACGGGTGCCTTTGCTTCGTGGCCCAATTGTCAGCATGGCTGCTCAGGGGAGTAGGGAACAAGAGGCTAGCTCACTGCCAGGAGCTCTCCTGGAGTGACAGACGCTCCTGGCAGTGGCATAGCCTCTGCCTCGACTGCTCTCCTGGCACCTGCCTCAGCCGACAGCACTGGTTGGCCGAGAGGGATAGCATGTACTGAGCACCCGTTGCATGCCTGGCCCCAGGTGAGGCCCAGTCTCCATGAGTCTTCACACACCCTGAGTGCAGCGGGCAGCACTCCCACCTCACAGATGAGGAAACTGAGCCTCGGAGGTGCTAAATAGCCTGGCCAAGGTCGCACAGCCAGTCGGTGGACTGCAATCCTGGTCTGTATCCAGACTTCCCCAGGCAGAGAGGCCGCATCTCCTGCAGCCCCTTCCTGGCCTGGGAAGTTCTCTTTCCTGTCAGCCCTTCAGCTGCAGAACAATCACTCCACACCCTAGCCAAGACTAAAAGTGCAGTGCTTCAAACGCCAGTGCCTCTTCTGCAGCCTCTGTTGTTTGGGTGTGTTGGTGCACATGCGTGCACTTGCATGTACACACTGTCACAACGTGCACGCTCGCACTGTGCACGCAAGCACACAGTCTCCACAGCCCGCCTCTGCACACCCTAGCGTGTGCTGCTACTGACCCTGAGTCATATACAAAGCCCACTGGCCTTCCCTGTGGCCAGTCCCTGCTGCCACCACGCCGTCACCACAGGAACCAGGGCTAACACTCCCTGAGTCTTCAGACCTCACCACCAGGGAGGGGCAAGTCTCCCCACACCCACGCTTCTCCAGCCTCTCACTGAGTAAGATAAGAACCCATGAGTCCATACCGAGAGTAAGTGTGCCAAATTAACGCCCACAAAGCCCTTGGGGAACAAGCCGCTCCCTAGCTCAGGGCAGCCCTCCCTGCCCCAGGCTCCAGGCACAGCACCATAGGGGCGCACATGGAGAAATCTGGGGTGCCCCACGGCCCCCTAGGCTCCTGGGTCCCCCTTGGCAAGTCTCCAGCCAGCCAGGCCGCTGATGAACACCCAGCTGCCCGGTGCCAGCTGCAAGCCCTGCCATCCCGGCCGGCTGCTGCCGCCGCTCGCTGGGCAGGACGAGAAGCCACAGCCTCTCGCCAAGAACATCCGAGCACGTCACCGCTACAGAGACCCTGGGCACCTCCTGGCCCAGCTGCACGGAGAGTGAAGAGACGGAGGCCGGGGGGCAGTTCCTCGCCCAGGGGCACAGGCAGCACAGCCCGCCTCCAGACGAGGCTGTCACCACCACACCGGGAGGTTCAGAATCCAGGCCACCCGACTGCTTCCCTACAAGAACACGGGAACCGGGAACCGCCACCTCTCCCAGCTCTCACACCCCACCCAGCCCACCCCGCTGGGGCCCGCAGCCCGCCCCAGCTCCACACCTTCCCCTCCCTGTGCGCCCCACCCACCAAAACCGCCTTGTTGGCCAGACACAGTGGCTCATGCCTACAAACCCACCAGTTTGAGAGGCAGAGGTGGGAGGATTGCTGGAGGCCAGGAGTTCAAGAACCTATCTCTACGAAAAATTTTAAAATTAGCTGGGCTTGGGAGGGCACACCTATAATCCCAGCACATTGGGCGGCTGAGGTGGGAGGATCACATGAGCCCAGGAGTTTGAGGCTCCAGAGAGCTATGATTTCACCACTGCACTCCAGCCGGGGCCACAAAAGGGAACCTTGTCTCAAAAAAAAACAAAGAAAACCACACACACACACACACACACATAGACTCGAAGCTGCCTCGTCTTCGGCCCCCTCCATCCGGGTTGCCTCTGCTACCGCAAACCTGGACACCTGCTGGCGAGGCGCCGTCAGACCCGGAGACGGAGACGCGCAGGGCGCTGTCCAGGGAGGCCCGCAGCTGTCCCGGAGCCAGCACTCCCGCTTCCCCGCTCCCCCCAGCGAGCTGCGCCTGGGCACAGGCGGCCCACACAACGGCGCCCACTGCAGCACTGTTTGAAACTGCAAGAAGCGGAAACAGACTAAATGTTTTACAACAGAAGAATGGATACACTGTGGTGTATTCGTCCAATGGGATATTATGTAGTTAAGATTAATAAAACAGCTCTCGAGTCAACATGACAAATCCTGAAAACAAAATTGACTGACAAAAGCGAGTTGCAGTATGATCTGTCCGCTTCGTGTAAAATTTAGAGACCACACGTGGCATTATTTGTACAGACGTGCATATATGCACATGATATATACACTGACCGGGGTAAACGCTGCATGAAGCCAGGAGATTTTGCCCATTGTATTCATCGAGTTCTTCTCGGCGCCTAGAACGCTCTTGGCACATAGTAGGTGCTCGGAAATGTTTCCTGAGTAGCCAAACGAAGACAGGAAAGACTCACTCTCCGGAATCATGGGTCCCTCGCGGGAGGAGAATGGCAGTGGGGACGGCACCAGGGAGCGTTCCCTCAATCCACAACATTTATTTCTTTAAAAAATAACCAGCGCCGAGCGAATGTGGCAGCATGCAACGACTCGGCAGGTCTGGGCCCCACAGCCCAGGCTGGACAAACCTTGGAGACAGGGGTGTCGGCAAGGCTCGGCCTGACGGGCACGCGGGTGTGCCTGCGCCTCCCTTC